CTGTGAAGTCCATTTGGTCCAGTGTGTCATTTAAAGTCTTTATTTCCTTGTTGATCTTTTGCTTCGAAGATCTGTCCATTTCAGTCAGGGGGGTGTTAAAGTCCCCCACTATTATTGTATTGCTGTCAATGTGTTTCTTTGCTTTTGTTATTAATTGCCTTATATAATTGGCTGCTCCCATGTTAGGGGCATAGATATTTACAATTGTTAGATCTTCTTGTTGGATAGACCCTTTAAGTAGGATATAATGTCCTTCCTCATCTCTTATTACAGTCTTTGGTTTAAAATCTAATTTGTCTGAGATAAGGATTGCCATCCCAGCTTTCTTTTGGTGTCCATTAGCATGGTAAATGGTTTTTCACCCCCTCACTTTCATCTGGGGGTGACTTTGCATCTAAAAATGAGTCTCTTGCAGACAGCATATCGATGGGTCTTGTTTTTTAATCCAATCTGATAGCCTGTGTCTTTTGATTGGGGCATTGAGCCCATTTACATTCAGGGTAACTATTGAAAGGTATGAATTTAGTGCCATTGTACTGCCTGTAAGGTGACTGTTACTGTATATTGTCTGTGTTCCTTTCTGACCTTGCTGCTTTTAGGCTCTCTCTTTGCTTAGAGGACCCCTTTCAATATTTCTTGGAGGGCTGGTTTCATGTTTGCAAATTCCCTAATTTTTTGTTTGTTCTGGAAGCTTTTTATCTCTCCTTCTATTTTCAATGACAGCCTAGCTGGATATAGTAGTCTTGGCTGCATATTTTTCTCGTTTAGTGCTCTGAAGATATCTTGCCAGTCCTTTCTGGCCTGCCAGGTCTCTGTGGATAGGTCTGTTGCCAATGTAATATTTCTACCATTGTAGGTTACATATCTCTTCTCCCGAGCTGCTTTCAGGATTTTCTCTTTGTCTCTGAGACTCGTAAGTTTTACTATTAGATGTCAGGGTGTGGACCTATTTTTATTGATTTTGAGAGGGGTTCTCTGTGCCTCCTGGATTTTGATTCCTGTTTCCTTCCTCACATTAGGGAAGTTCTCTGCTATTATTTGCTCCAATATAATAACTGCCCCTCTCTCTCTTTCTTCTTCTTCTGGGATCCCAATTATTCTAATGTTGTTTCGTCTTATCGTATCGCTTATCTCTCGAATTCTGCCCTCGTGGTCCTGTAGTTGTTTCTCTCTCTTTTTCTCAGCCTCTTTATTTTCCATCATTTGGTCTTCTATATCACTGATTCTCTCTTCTGCCTCATTTATCCTAGCAGTTAGTGCCCCCATTTTTGATTGCACCTCATCAATAGCCTTTTTGATTTCGACTTGGTTAGATTTTAGTTCTTTTCTTTCTGCAGAAAGGGTTTCTCTAATAACGTCCATGCTTTTTTCAAGCCCAGCTAGTATCTTTAAAGTCATGATTCTGAACTCTAGGTCCGACATCGTACTAATGTCCGTATTGAGTAGGTCCCTGGCAGACGGTACTACCTCTTGTTCTTTTTGCTGAGGTGATATTTTTCGTCTTGTCATTTTGTCCAGAGGAGAACAGATGAATGAGAGAACAAAATGCTAACAGGTTAACAACGTCCCCAGCAAATATACTCTATACAAATCAGAAAAGACCTGAAACCAGGGGAAAAGAAAGGGAAAGAAAGAAAAAAGAAAGAGGAAAAAAAAAAAGAAAAAGATAAAAACAAACAAAAACAGAACAAAAAAAACAGAATATGATCAAATATGATCAGGCTAGTGCATAGATCAGTGCCACACACTAGATTTGGGGTGTATTTTGGTCTGTTAGAAGAAAGTGCCTCCTAAAATTTTAAAGGAAGAAAGACTCCTATATGTCCAAAATAAGGGTTGATACAAAGAAGGGATGGAAGATGACTGTAAAGATGAAAATTATAAAAGATTTTATAAAAGGAATTGATAAGAAGTTGTTTGAAAAAAGAAAGAAGTTTTAAAAAAAAAAAAGAAAAGAAAAAAAAGGGAGAGAATGTGATCAGGCAGGAGACTAGACCAAAGCCATACACTAGTGATTTAGGATATATTTTGATCTGTTAGAAGAAACTGTATTTCAAAATTTTAAAGACAAAACAACTTATATATATATATATATATATATGCCAAAAATAAGGGTAACTACTATGAAGGGATAAAATATGACTCTAAAAATGAAAAATAAAAAAAAATTTTTTAAAAAAGGGATTGATAAAATGTTGGTTGAAAAAGGGAAAAAGAAAAATTCAAAAAAAAAGTTAAAAAAATTAACTTTGAAAAACTAATGGTAAAAAAGCCATGAATTCTATGTGCAGTATTCCCCTAGCGCTGGAGTTCTCCCATTCTCCTTGATTGGTAAACTTGGTCTTGGCTTGCTGGCTGTTCGTGCTGATCTTCTGGGGGAGGGGCCTGATGCCGTGGTTTCCAAATGTCTTTGCCGGAGGCGGAATTGCCCCGCCCTTGTCGGTCTGGGCTAAGCAAGCTACTCAGGTTTGCTCTCAGGAGCTTTTGTTCCCTGCAAGCTCTTGGTACAGCTTTGGAGGACGAGAGTGAAAATGGTGGCCTCCCACTCTCCGCCCGGAGGAGCTGAGAACTCGGGGCCCTGCTCCTCAGTGCGCCCCCAGAGAAAAGCAGTCAATCACTCCCGTCTCCCCAGTCTCCGGCTGCACGCCGTGCTCACCCCACCTGTGACCGAGCGTTTCTATCTCTGGCACCCGACCCCGTGTGGAGTCTCCAAACCCAGCAGATCCCTGCGATGCACTCCTGCGCCGCTCCTCCTGGGGGAGGAAGGGGAGTCTCCCCAGCTCTGCTGCTTGTTCGGTCCCTGCTGGAGGAGCAGTGGCCCGACTGGGCCGCGGATCACAGTTTATAGCCACCCCGAGCTGAGAGCCTGCGCCTCGGCTCCGTCTCTGCAGCCGGCTTCCCCACTCCGATACCTGGGAGCTCTGCCGCACTCAGGCACCCCCAGTCTTTCTGTGACCCCGAGGGTCCTGAGACCACACTGTCCCGTGAGGTTTCCACCTCCCGCTTAGCCACTGGAGCGACGTCCCTCAGCGGAGCCAACTTCTATAAGTTCCGATTTTGTGCTCCGCGGCTCTATCACTTGCCAGAAGCGGCCGACAGAGGCCCCCTCCCCCGCCATCTATCCTCCCGAATATCGCCTCAGATTCACTTTTCCGCACGTCCTACCTTCCAGTAAGTGGTCGCTTCTTTGTTCAGTTGTTGCTACTCTCTTCTTCGATCTCCTGCTGAGTTCGTAGGTGTTCAGAATGGTTTGATCCCTATTCAGCTGAATTCCTGAGACCAGACAAAATCCAGGTCTCCTACGCCTCCACCACTTGCTCCGCTATTGTGTCCCTTTTCAATGTCATATTAGAGCATTGTCTAATGGGCCCACCCGAAGGTCATACAACTCTCTATAAATATAATTTTGTTTGACTTACTACTTCTATTAACTTGTAGCAAACAGATAAAGGGCATATGATTTTTGTACAGTAGAGAGGAAAATGACATCTGTCTGGTAGAAAAGATAATGTCTAAAGTTGGTAACTCAAGAAATAGAGGTAAAATATATCCCTAGACACATGGAGGAAAACTGAAAAAAGAGTTGAAAAAGAGTTAACAGTTGCCTCATGGAAATAGGATCAGGGCAGAAGAATATCGCTTTTAATCATAGACATGTATTGTTTGGGAAGAATGTTCTTTTAAACAACTTTTTAAAGTCTGAGAAAGAAAAAGTAATGTTTTATTGACATGAAGAATTATTTATTACAGCCACTGTTCTTAGGGTCCCGGAGGCAGCATCTTCAGTCCCTCATGCCCAGTTGTTCATGAGTTCAGGGACGGTATCATCAGGTCCAGCTTCAGGAAGCAGTCTTGGTCTTTTAGCAGTCCTGGTGCCAGAAGATATGATTCCCAAAGCAGAAAAACATCCCACTCAACAGTTTTCACTGTAGTTGTGATTTTGGTGACCAGGTTCTTAATTCCTTACCAGAATCCAAAAGCGCCTCTCTCAGTGTAATCTGTCAGATTTACACCTCCTCAGGAGCTTCCTGGGTATAATCTGAAACTGGTCCTCATATGTGGAGGTCAGGATTGAGACCAAAAGGAAAGAGACGATTCACCCCAGATCGGTAGGTGCCAAATTTAATAAACAAGGGAACTCACACACAATGCTTGTCTTTGAGTGGCTACAAGACAAGCAGATCTCCATACTCACCCACTAGAATATTAAAACTGTGTGTAGAGGCTTTAACTGGGTTTGGCCACATACACCATCCAGATATCTCAACATCACATCACTATCTCAAGGCTATGTCCTTAGGGCAGCTTCTGGGAGCAGGAAAGGCAAGCAGAACACACACACACTGCAAGGACAGGGGAGCGGGTAAGGAGCCTCCAACTGCCAGAGTCCAGCTCATGGGTCAACTGGTGGTCATATCCTCTCAATGACTTCCCCCAACACAATGCATCAAGCCCTTTATACCACCCCGTTGCTAAAGACCCAAAAGAACCAAATCCTTCAAGGAATGTTGGCCTGGAGCTCCTAGAACTCAAATGCCAGAGCATTTGATATTCAAATGTGTGAAAACTAGATGTTCCCCAGGCCATAAACCTGAAAATGAGGATGTCGCTACTCACAGGGGCCTTCCATGATTTCATATGCTGTGGTCTTTCTCAAATGTGACAGATAAGTCAAGGGGTCCCTGGAAGTCTATGTTTTCATTTTGATTACACTCTCAATATGCTATCAGAACCTCTTCTGTACCATCAGGATAGCCAGTTACATGACACCAAGACTCATATTTGAGCTTTGTTTGGGCTCAAATCTGTGCCAAGTGACAACCCAAAGTGTCACAGTGTCTGCATGAACAGTTTTGGTGGTAGAGAAAAGAGATGGGACAATGGAATCACCACACAGCCTGTAGTAGTCTGGAGATGCTGTAACACTCAGACCATAATCATGTCACAAGCAAATGTGTCATTGGATCCCAACTGTCAGATGTAACAACCGACAATATAACAATGTAATTGGCAGATGTAAGACACTGCCACCATTTATTAGCAGTGAGGATAGTCATAAATATTCAATAACCAAGTCTTCTATTTAATATCCCAGAATTAGCTCAGTGCCCATTTTAATGTTTTTTATAAAACTACAATGCTAAAACTATACGTAATTGAAGAAGAAAATTTTAAAGAATCAAGAGACCTTGCATTAAATCGGTGCTTACTGATTGCTTACTGGCCTGGCTAGTAGAGTATGTGGTCTGATGGTCCAAAAGTAGAAAAAAAAAATTTAATTTACTGGTGCTATGCTATTTTGGAAATTGTATTTAAGCAAATAGAATTTTCTGCATTTGTAATATCAGAGTGAAAATAAGAAATGTATTATATGCAGAACCAGATCTGAGCTACATCTTTCTACAGTTATATTCACAATCAGTGATTTAATTTCATCAGAATACATCATCTGAAGCATGGCTGGTGAAAACGCTAGGCTCTCTGTTCCAAAGAAAGGGACTTTCCTGCAGTTTTTAAAGGGATTATGTGGATGGTGAGTATGCCTAAAAGGAAAAGTCTAGAAGAGGCAAAGAAATCAAGGCTGTGAGACTGTACAGAAAGTAGTGAAATAATAGTTCTCTTTTACATGCATTATCTCCTCCCCAGCCTATCAGCAGCGACAGGGGCCCTCCTCCCCCCAGCTAAGCCCAGGTCCCAGGCTCACCCACAGAGCTATCCTCATTCAATTACTCTTGCTAATTTCAGTTTACTATGTTTGCTATTTCATTTTATATCTTAGTTTTAGCTTTCTTATTGTGTAAACACATGAAGTTTATATTTGGCCTTATGTTTACATATTAGAATTAGGAAAAAACAAAATTCTTCTGTTATTAAGAATTATTTATCTTTAAAAGTTCTTTTAAAAGGATACATTATGCAACTTGAGACATACTGGCAACATACAAACTATATGGAATATGTAATCCAAATAGGAAAGAAAACAAAGCAAAACAAAAACAATCAGTTCCACACTAGTCACCCGATCTTGGGTAAGATTCATGAGCTCTGAGCCTTCTCCATATCCACCCCCAGGGAATGCCCTAATGTCTTTGGGTTCTGACATACTCATACTCTTACTGGGGGATGGCTGTGGGATGAACAGCTTCAGCCTGAGAGAACCTTACATCACCTTTCCCTCCTATGTCTAAGCCCACATTCTATGCCTCAGTTGCCATGAAGTCATTCATAAAGTGCGGTGATAACAGGTTCCTGCCCACCTCTCAGCACTGATGTGAAATGACACTGAGATAATATAGAGGAAATCACACTGGGAACTCGAAAATTTAACATAAAGACCTCTGACCAAGCTGCCCCCTCCAGCCTGAGTTCAAGCGTTGATATTTAAATTGAAGTTAACATTGTACACTCCCCCCTGGTGCGAAGTGAGGAAGATGGGGTGGCCTCTGTCAGAGGAGGCAATGAACCAGCCAGGGAAGGCCACAGACTCGAAGGTGGAGGTCCTGCCATTCTTTGAGTGGTAAAAGAGGAAGGGCTCCACGGGCTCGACTTCGTTGTACAGATTCAGTATCTCCTCCTCCTGAAATATGACAGAGAAGGCCCCGCAGGAGAAGCAGAGGCTGTTTGAGTCCTTCAACGTTACTTGCACACAATCAGTAAATATTCCAAAGCTCGAGAAAGCCTTATCCCTCTATTAAAACAGGCCTAGGAGCAGCAGGGTGAGCACACAATCTCACCCTCCCAGCCCCCAGCCTCAAATCCAGAGACAGAGGAGGAATGACACAAGGAACAGGTTAATGAACATGTGGGCACACTCGAACACCGCACTCTTCTCACACAAGAAGCCGAGCGGAGGAAAAGGAAGGAGATGCAGATTTGCAGCAGAAAACCAAGGACCTCTCCCACCAAAGCTGCAGCAGTGAGGGCCGCCGCCCTGCAAACACCATTCGTCTAACCAAAGTTCCGTGTTAGTCTTTGACCAACTGCCAGCATGTGAGAAAGGTCAGTGCCAGGAAAAAGACACAAGAGGGTCTAACAAACCAAAGGATTTGCATTCAAAAAACAACAACAAAGTAAATAGAGCAATCAGAAAATGTCTTCTATGTCACATATAGAAGTACATTTTGTATGTTTATATAGCATGTATTTAAGTAAAGTATTTCTAACTAAATTAAAGATCTCCAGAGAGCCACTACACAGGAATAGTCTGTAATTCAGCCACATTTGAACCCTATCTCGTTACCAGGTTATTTTCTTCATTAGTTCTGATTACCATCTGAACTTAGTATATTTATCCATCAATCATATCATTACTGCCAGATTTGTTCATCACTGCATTCCTCAACACAGAGAAATTCAATAGAGATGTGTTTAATAAATAAAAAGACACTTTCTCATTTCAAACTCCAATACGTCCTCCTCCTCCCTTTCAGTGTCCGGCCTGGGAAGGACTGGGCTGCAGGTCCCATCTGCCCTCCCCAGCTTATGCCTGCTCCTCTAGCAATTCATCATTTTGGCTTTCTCTCCATCATTCCCATTAGCATATTTGCTGTCATTCTACCACCTTAAAAAATAACTGTTTCGATTGCCTATCACCGTTCCCAGCTTCCTTTTGCAGAAATTTCCCCGTAATAGTTGTCCATATACCCTGTCTCGGATTTTTCCCCTCCTGTCCCTCTCTTAAACCCCCTCCATCCAGGCTTTCACCTCCAGGACTGCAGCAATACTGTTGTCACCAAGGTCCCTAAGGACCCACACATGGCAGAATGCAGTGGTCAATTCTCAGTCCATCTGAGGACAAAACCACAATAGAAGGGCGGCTTACTAGACAGGACTTAGCTGAAAATGTAATTCTCAGTCCACCTTCACCACACTCCACATTCACTCTGTCAGCAAATCCTGTTGCCTCAATTTAAATAAAATATTTTCAGAGTCCGACCGGCTTCTATCTACCTTCACTGCTATCCCCTCATCCATCAGATCTCACATAGATCATGTCGAAGTTCTGCATAGGACTCTCACCCCTGCCCTCCACCACAGTCTGTTTTCAGCTAGCAGCCAAAATAATTATTTTAAAACCTATGTCTATTCATGTCACTCTCCTATTAAAAACATTCTAATAATTCCCCATTTCACTCAAATTGAAAGGCAAAGTCCTTATAAATGCCAGCAAGGCCCTTTGTGATCCGCCTTTATCTCTCCGAACTCCTCCTCCCTAATTCACTCCTGTCACTGTTTTCTTTGCTAATCCTTGCCCTCCCTGATACCCAGCTGGCTAACTCTCTTGCTGCCTTCTACTGTCTGTTAAAATCTTAGCAGGCCTGCTTGCACTATTTTCTACAGCAGCCCGACTCCACCTGGGTCTAGCACTGCCCGCCTCTCTTATCCTGCTCTCCCAGGGGACACAACACCCTTACACACATCACCAACTTACCCATCCTGATAATTGTTGTCTACCATTTTTCTCCTCCTGCTAGAATCCACGCCCCATGAGGGCAGGGCTCTCTGCCGTTCTGTGCCCCAATGTACGTCAGATGGCCGCAACAGAGCTAGAGGCCAGTAAGAACTCACACATTTGCTGAACTGATTTGATAAATTGAATTGAATTAAACAGAAGTTTATGGAGCTGAAGTTTATGGAATAAGAGTAAAGATTGAAATTTCAGAAAACAGCAAGGGGAGAATGATTTAGCAGATAGGAAGAGCTTAAAATGGAATCATGACTTCAAAAATGGAATCAAGAAATTCTCCCAGGATGCAACAAGCAAAAAACAAAAACAATGAAAGGATAGAAAGTATGGAAAATTAGACAAGATATTAAAGAGGGATCTAGAAGTTCCAATGACTAAGGCATAGGAATTCCAAAAGGAAAGCTAAGGCAGAATGAAGGAGAGAATATACTTGAAGAAACAATGGTTGAGAATACCTCAAAATTCAAGAAGGACAAACATCCTCAACTAGTGAGGGTCAGGATAACTCAATTGCATGTACACTACTCAAAAATATCCAAGAATATTAACTATGTTTAAGAATAGGAGAATATTTCTTGGGTGCCTGAGTGGCTTAGTCAGTTAAGCATCTGCCTTCAGCTCAGATCATGCTCCCAGGTTCCTGGGATCAAGTCCCACATCAGGCTCCCTGCTCCACGGGGAGCCTGCTTCTCCCTCAGTCTCTGCCTCTCTCTCTCTCTCTCTCTCTGTCTCTCATGAATAAATAAATAAAATCTTAAAAAAAAGAATAGGTGAATTTTTTTTAATTCTAAAATTAGATTATCTACCAAATAAACATCTTATAAAAGAAATTGGCTTTTTTTAAAATGTCATTTTTCATACTCACCTTCAGTTGCAACGTGGGCTGCCCTTCAATGTTCTCACAAGACAGACACATATCTGGATTCTCTATTCCCAAATAAATGGGAACTCCTCTTCCTTGCTCAAGCAACTCTGGATACTTGCATGGGACAACAGTGACAGTGACTATTAAAGGTAAGAGGGGAGATGGTGTCAGTTTCTTCTTGAAGTCAGGACAAGGCCAGCATCTTTCAGGTAGGGCAGGAAGAAACCTTTCGAGTGTCATCCCTGCTACCCCAGGCCCACCAAATGGCCAACTACTGTATTCATTCATTCATTCATTCATATGCCATACCAGTCACGTCCCTAGGAAATGGAGCAAACATACAGAGTTAAACAGGTGGCAGACCCTGTCCTAGAGATTGTCATACCTCTGCTTAAACACCTGGAGGTGGGAAGCTCCAACCCCAAGCAGCCCCTCTGATCCTTGAAGAGTTCTGACCATTAGCAAGTTTTGCTTAATGTGATATTGAAATCTGCCTTCCTGTACCCACTCATTTAGTCCTTTTAGGACACCTTGAAGTCAAGCAGAATAAAATACTCCTCTTCCATGGGACAGGCCATCAGTCACTGAAAGCAGCTCTCTCCTGCCCCCCAGGAGGATGCTTTACCCTCTCTGCTTTCTAAATCCTACTCCAGACAAACTTCTCCGACATGGCTTCCCAGGCAGGTGTGAAATTCTCCTCCTTCCAGGTGGGCCATGTTGTCAAGCCACCCTTTCACAAAAGGCCAGTGCCAGCATCACTAATGTGACCCTTCCCCTGCCTCCAAGGCAGCAGCTACGGGATGAACACTCACCTGGGGTTACACTGTTACTCCGTGGAACTGTCACAATGGTCTGACCCTGAAGGATCCACACCTGCTGATTCAAGTCGGAGACCTCCCCAGTATGAGGTTTATTCACTACAGTATAAATAGAAAAGAATAATGAAGAACCATTATAATTAGGCCGCTTTGCTAGACGCTAGGCCCTTCAGGAAGGAAGGTCCAGGGTTTACACACCAAAACTGACAGCATTCACATGACCCTCAGCTCAGCCTTTCTTTCTGGGAAAACTATGGGCTGTGGTGAGGAGGGCCAGAGCTGCAAATGATCTAAGAGGGTAAACTGTCCCATAGGACATGTGTGTCAAGACCAGCTACTCCTTCTGATGACTACTCTGTGCTTGACTTGGTGCTGGGTCTGGAGTTAGAGCAGAGAATAAGCACTACTCCCCACCCTGTAGAAGCTCTCTCTCCAGGGAAAGCTGGAGAGCACTGGGTGGTAAGGGCTATACACAAAGAGGGGCAGAAAATGCTGGGGCAGATCCAGAAGAGACAGGTATGAGTGCAGGTGTCCCAGGCCTCCAGAGCCCCATCTCAACATCACCTGCTGTAAAGGGTTCTCCAGAGATAGGGACTCCTCGAATGCATGTCATAGTGGGGTTGTCTCAACACCTGTGGGGACAGTGACAGGAGACATGAGCGTCAGGAGACATTTCCAAGACCTTTCCAGGATGCTAGTTACTGAGATCCTCATTCTGGACAAGGAACTGGGAAGCCTGGCCTGACACAAAGCCCTAGTCAGAAAATCTGAGCCACCTCCTGAGACAAAACTTCAAGGTACCGACAGGGAGGAGACATCAGGCAGAACTTCCTCCACCTGAAAATCCAGCCAGTGACAGTATCTTCCTAGATGTTCTAAGCCAGGCATGACTTTTGACCTTAAATACCCACAGCCCCCTAATGCCTGTGTCTCCTCCTCCTTCCCCCATTGACATCTGCTTCTGCCTGGGGGCAGGCCAGCTCTGCCAGGATCCCAGCAACTCCCTGGGAAGTGAGAAAGTGAGAAGCAGCTAGACAAGCACTGGACAAGACACAGAGGCTGGCATAGCCCCATCCCTTCCTGAGCCCTAAAGCACAGAAAAGAGGGAAGGCTGAAAAGTTGGAGAACCTTTATCAAAAGTGCAGGGGACTGAAACACAGCTCCAACAGCTCCCAAGAGCAGTGATGGGCTGTGACAGAGACTGCCGTTTATTTTGTACAATGGGGGAGGTGCCACCTACCTTGGGGGGGGCGTGGCAATTATATGTCAGAATATCCTGAGACTCAGATGAAGAAATCACAGCATCAGCATGAGCTGCCAGAGAAGGAGGCACCGAGCCACGCCCACAGGGAAACAGAGCTGATGACAGACCCCAGGCTTCTCAGCAAGGGGAGACTGAGGGACTTCCCCAGAACTCAGTTCTCCTGCCTTTTCACTCAGGCTATAACTGGAAATGCCAGGCCCTTCACAGAAGGAGTTCATCTGTTGAGGCAGGCAAGCTTGCCCTCTACAGTTCCACTAAGGGAGTCCTGTGATTGCAAAATTAGCTGTGGACTTCAGGCAGGGTCCACATGGCATTCCTGGCCATCCAACTACGCCTGAACCACCCAGGCCACCCCTGAAAAGAGGACTAGGCTGAAAGCTCCCTTACTGTACTCTTTCAGCACCTCCACCCCCTTGGGAAGCCACAGGCACTGAGCAGCATACCCTTAATCAAGGCAAGCCTGGTCCCTGGTGCCCCCAAAATGCAGTGGACTCCAGAACTGCCTAAGAACTAAAATAGTCAGCAATCATGTCCCTAAAAACTGAGCCCCAGATCCCAACTTATCCCCCACCTCTGTTCTAGTAATGCAGGGCATTTGTAGGTTCTCAGTGAATGGTAACAGCTATTATTACTATTTTTGGTGGGAGGTACCATGTTTGTTACACCCCCACCCTCCATCTGCTGAGGTCAAGCACAAAAATTTTCTGCTGCACAAGCTAACTTGACTGAGGTGAATTTCAAAAAACAGACTGGAAACAACTTTGTATTTACCCGCCTAGCTGGGGGGTGGGAGGGAAGGGCTAAGACAGAACCTTTTAGGCAAGCATCTCCATGAGCTCCTCTTCCCAGCCCTGAAAAGTTCCTTGTTCAACCTCTCATACTTTTCACCCCCATCTCCTTGTTGCCCTTGGAGGAACATGGTCCTTCCCTGTTGAGGCCTCAATCCTATCACTTTTGGCTTCCAGTTTATCTGTTACCCCAGGAGAGAGTGTGATAATGAATTCGGACACACTTGTGTTCAAAGCCAGGCTCAGTCAGTGTCACCTCTCTTGTGTCCCCTCTGTCCAACTGAAGAGCCTCTCCATTGTGTATCAATTAACATACCCCCTTTCTTGGGATGTTCACCACAAAATGGCATCTAAAGGGTCCTATCATCTGGCCCCCAAATTCCTTAAGTCTCTGTTTCAATCAGGATCTAGTGTGGAAAGCAGAACCCACACAAGGAATTTCAAAGGCAACTGGTTATAAAATATGTTAGAAGGCTAAAGAGTAACAAGAAAGTGCTGAAGTATCCCCGAAATTAACAACTACAGGAAAGAAACAGGAGGGAACAAAAGAAGCTATGAGCTCAAAGGATCTTGTAGGACTGATGCCCAGACCTTTGGAGGGGACCCTCTGCCAAACTGTTGCTCAGACCTCTGAAAAGAGAGTGTAGTCTGTTCAGTGCATGAACCACAAATGTGGAGAGGAGGCATCAGCCCAAGAGATGCTCAGAGGGCCCAAGGGACACAACCCAGAGAGCTGTATTTTCATTGATTCAAAAGCCATTGAATATAGCTTGAATTTTCCATGCCCAGAAGGTTGCAAAAACCTGTGTCTTATGATGGCATGTGTCCTCTTCGGCCTCAGCCTCTTATTCCACTGACCTTTCCCTCTCTTCCCAACATTCAGAGCATCCAGTACTTTTCAGAATTGCCAGCAATCAGTATCCATTCTGAAGTCCCCAATTTAAACTTTAGTGTGAATAACTACCAGAGAATTAAAATAGGAGTGATGGTGATAAGAGGGAAGAACTGAACCACTGGGGTGGATAATTGAGGAACAGAGAGTCCATCTACTGGAGAAATGGACCAGAACTTTTGTCTTAGAGTAGAAGGGATGGATAATATGATTACATGATACCCTAGCTATATTTGAGAGGACTATCAATATTTTTGCTGGTTATAAAAAGGAATATGATTCTGCTATGTAAACATAACCCAGTTTGTCAGATTCTATTAATGTTCTATTGTCACATACAATAATGAAAATTATGCACACCATTAAGTGTGGCTTGAATTGAATTCAAGTAAGTACTCTTAAAGCCAAAGATCCTAGATGTGGAAATAATTTTAAGGGATCATGAAGTGCAGATTCCAATTTTTAAACTCTAAGATATTATCATCCATGCTTGTTTGGTATCAAGTCCTGCTATTTTGCTCACTTAACATGCCCATGATCTTGGTAAGTGGAGGGAACATCAATGGAAACCAGGTAGGGGGAGAGGGCTTGGTCATTCACCACCACTAGACTCTCTAGAACCTGTTCATAGATGCACAATCTCCATAACAATGTATTCATGTGGCCAAGCTGACATTCACAACAAATAAAGCAGAAGGAACCATGAAGTAGTAGAGCTTATCTGCTCCCCATAGTTGAAAAATAACAGAATCAAATTCATAGTAGAACTGGGCTTAGAATCTGTAATTCCCAATTCCCTAATTCAGGGCTTTCTGCTCCAGTGCCCACCAGCTCCCTTGGGGCTCCCAAAAGGACCAAAGCCATTGTAGCTTACATCTATCAAGGGCTACCTACAAGCAGGGCTGGCAGTCTGGCCTGGGAATTGCTACTGGGAGAGAACTGGCACTCCCCTTGGTTGAATAATGGTGCAACATGATGTGCACCACAGACCATAGAGAACAGCCCGGGCCATTTGTACTTGAGTAGATTTGGGAAAATGGGATGCCAAGGAAATTCCCAGGGTGACCTCTGTAGGACTGCCTTTACCCCATGTGGGTATGATGATGTAGTTAAACTTGCACAAACCTCTGCTCCTCTAAGGAGCCCAAGCCCATTGTCTAAGACTTGCTTCCCTGTGGGCTGACCTATCCTCACATCTTTCCTCAAGCTGGGTCTTCCACGAAAACCCAGACTTTCAGTTGTGGGCCAACATGCTATTTAACAGCTTCTTCTCCTTCATGTGAAAATGAAAGATAAGTTAACAAAAGTAACCCCCACACTCCTCACCAAAATGGCAGAAATAAATAGAAGGCTTAAAAGCATCAAGACAAAAGAATCCAACTATACAGGACCAACATCAAGGTACATTTCTCTAAATTTAAAACATCTATTGACCAAATTGTACACTTATGTGCAACCAAAATATAAAAAGCAAACAGCTAAAGCCTTCATCAGACAGCTTGTGGTAAAACATTTAAGGAAAAGTTTAGGTTAAATGCCTAAAGTTTGAAATTCCTGGACAAAGAGTCAATGACAGAGAACTTTTAGTCCAACAATCCACATCACATGAAATACAAAAGCCATGAAAGAAATGATGATAAATTGAACATTATCAAAATTTTAGAATTTTGGACAAAACACACAATGGGTGAAAGTTGTAAGATAAGGTGCCTACAAGAAAATGTTTGCAATACATCTAACAAGCTAATACCTAATATTCAAAGTTTTTAAGTAGTTCCTACTAGTTTAAAAAATGCAAGTAATTTTATAGAAAAATAAACAATAGATGTAAAAAGCATTTTGCTGAGAAGAAAATATAAAGATCCAACAAATAGAAGTAATTATAGTTAGGGGCGCCTGGGTGGTTCAGTCAGTTAAGTGTGTGCCTTCGGCTCAGGTCATGATCCCAAGGGTCCTGGAATCGAGCCCCGCATCAGGCTCCCTGCTCAGCGGGAAGCCTGCTTCTCCCTCTCACACTCCCCCTGCGTGTGTTCCCTCTCTCGCTGTGTCTTTCTCTGTAAATAAATAAATAAAATCTTAAAAAAAAAGAAGTAATTATAGTTAACCATACTAGTAATTAGCAAAATGCAAATCAAAGCAACAATGAGATTCCATT